CAACAAACTGACCATGATTAAAATATAAATACATTCTGCGATTATTTCATCCAAAAACAATCAGCGAATAAAAGGACTGGACAGTAACAGAAAGTTTAAAAGTCGAGTTGAAAACAAGTCACAGTCGCCCGTAATGAGCTTGTGCTCCGCTCTAGTCTCGGTCAACATTTGGTCTTCATGCTTCTGTCTCAATCAGCCGTCAGTCTTTACAGGTAGGGATACTGGTTGAGTTTTCGCTGGTAAGTAGCACTGGCGTGGTGGAAAGGCTGCCCTCCCAGCTGCTGCTGCTGCTGCTGCTGCTGCTGCTGCGGTTGGTTGTTGTTGTTGTTGTTGTTGTTGTTGTTGCCGCCGTACTGTCCCGCAGCAGATCCTCCCAGGGCCAGGCTGCCGTTCTTCTGGAGCAGCGCCAGGGAGGAGTACGCTCCGCTCGCCCTGCTGCTACGGGACGAGCCGCCTTGCATCTGGTCCACGGCTTGTGACACGGAGGCCAGGGCGGCGGACGCGGGGTAGGCGTACAGGTTTGGGGTCGAGCTGAAGAGGGTGTTGTAGGATGAGTGGGAGGAGACGGGAGGGGGGTACGTCGGCTGCCGCCTCAGGGAACCGCTGCTTCCTGTTTGGTCGAGGGATGATGACATCACAGACTGCTGTACCTGAAACAACAAAGAACGCTGGTCTCTACAAACAGCGGGTCCGCCCCATCCCAAGATCTAGACTTGTGAGTAGTCAACTTGTCCGACACATTTCTGGTGACGTGTATAAAAATAGGTTTTTGCCATATCTGCTGAAACTTTCACTATAACCCAACAGTAGTAGATAAGACAGATAATATGTGAACTGATTCGGTTCCTCTGGCTAGTGCTCCAAATGGTATTTTCAAGAATCCATCGGGCCTGAATGAAAGCAACCAGCCAATCGCAGATAATCTATCTCGTGTATTACTGTCAGGATGTAGTGTAAGTTCCAGGAAATGTGATCAAAAGTTATTTTTGTATAAAAGTTACCTACTGCAGCTCAGTGCAGTCACTTAATTTTTACTTTAACCGTCTGTGAAAGCTCTCTAGTGTTTAGGTATGAATAATAATATTCACGCTGAATCCAATATGTCACAAACTTAAACATCTTTATGTCTATTGATTAATGTGGATCTTAAAACCAGCTCATGGAGCACTACTGCAAAGTCCGGTGCAGTAGACCGTGGTGGCTTTGG